ACGTGTTTTTGCACAGGACCGGACAGCGAGGACTGCGAGGTCGAAAATAATAAGAAGAACACAAACTGAGGACACGAGAGAGGAAGTAGCAGACCGGTGGGGAAAATTACAGAGTGAGGACCTTCGTAATACGGTTAGGAAATCAAGTAAGATGAGATTGACGGGGCATGTAGTACGCACGAGAGAGACGGCTTCAGATACGTAGAAAGAGGAGCAATATTAATATGTATTTTGAAGAGAGGGCATGGGCGTGTGGGCTTGATCCAACAGGCTCAGCTTCTGGGTTCTTGCGAACGCGGTAATGAACTTTCTGTTTCCACAAAATGCTGGGGTTTCCTGACCGAATGACAGTCGAACGTCCTAGAAGGACTCCGTTCCGTGTTATAACCCAGAAGCAGAATGGAAAATGTAATTTTTTTCGATGTCAGATTCCCTCTGCACATTCATGAAAGCGTTCTTCATGTTAGCTTCTGGTCCCCCACGACATTAAAGTGTAATTTCCGTTTACGAATTCGAGGCTGTCTGCTGTTTATGCAGGCTCTAAAGCGCACATGATATAAATAACAAGGTAACAACAGAAGGTTGAACAGCGCCTTCGATGGCGCACTCTTAATTCGGCTAATAATCTTAATCATGACAAAAGATTGTGGGTGTCTTCTGCGTTGCAAAGCCGTGTAGTCTGGTAGAACTTTACCGACGATTCCGAGGTACTGGCAGCCTCCATCATCAGAACGATGATGGAGGCAGCAAGGACCTCGGACTCACCACCGTGCTTTACCATGTTATATATTATATTATATAAGTTGCTGGAAACACAGGGTTTCGGTGTACAATTTCCCCCCCCCCCCATTTCAGAAGAGGCCTGCCCGTTACAAATGCTCAGGTTCATATGAATTATGATGGAGCACCCCGAATTTTTCGTAGCTCACTTTTAGTGAGCGTAAGAGGTCTGGCGGACGAATACGAAGTTCTCATCCACAACTACGCTGGACGGAAAAATCCTTTCTGCGTGTGAAACGTCCGGAAACATCACATTCTTTACGCACGCGTAAGAAGAGGCTTGGAGCTTAGACGGTTTTGCGGAACATGCTTCTCGAAACTTATCCTCGTCAGAGTATCCCCAGTCCGTCTCCCGTAAAAATAACGTCGGTTTAAGACACGCGAGACTGAATTGGAGGAGATGTTGCGGAATTGTAAGGAAGAAAGATAGTCCTCGAGTGGAGACCGAAACACAACGCAACTCTCTTCTACTGGGGAACATTACAGCACGACAGGAAAAGTCGAAATGTAATGAGAATTTAAAGAAACCAGTTTACGAAAGTGATGCCGATTCTAGGTGACGGACAGAGAGACAGACATGACCTCCCCATGCGCTTTAAGTCACTTTCTTAGTGCTGAAAGAGTGGCTGAAACTGTTAGCGATGAACGGAAAACGGACAATTTTGGTATGGGTCGAACCTGCTTTGCTGTTAACTGCGGTAGCTTCATCAAAGAAACAAAACACAGTCTGGAAGCAAAACCGGGAGGTTCAACACGATCTGTAACAAGTCCCATGATCAGAATCAAGTGACCTCATTCCAAGGTCTCTCCCCACTAAATCTGCCTATGAAACATGGCTAACATGAGGTGCGTTAAGTCTGAACGCTGAGTAGTGGCCATGAAAAGTGTAAACAACCTACCCAAGCGAAGGCCCTGTGGCTGAAACTGTGGCCTGTTTGCTGGAGTATCAGATTTAAAACTTTTGATTTCATGGTTCGTGTAACACGATGCTTCCATCCCTCTTAAGTATTCGTCGGTACGTAAATCCAGAAGTGCCAGAACTCACACTTAGGCGAGCGCAATTTTAACATGCGTCTCACAAGGGCCACCCATTGTCTGTTGTTAGGTTCCAAAGGCGGTCTAACCCTCACAGTTGGCGATGAACAATTCTAGTTTTCAAGCTCGGCCCATAAAGTAACCAAACCACGACAGTTTTCATTGGTGGCGACGGAATTGTAAGTTCTGATATTTATTTATGTTTTGTTTTATTTCGGCAAAGCATCGATTTTAAATAACCCTTGTAAGATTTGAGGTTTTCACTGCGGTGAGTTTGAAGATTTCTGATGACGGAGGCAGTATGACCTCTGAAACGTTGGTGGACATCGACCAGACTACACAGCGCAATAACCCAGAAGACAGAAATCTTCATTCTCTGATGACGGAGGCAGTATGACCTCTGAAACGTTGGTGGACATCGACCAGACTACACAGCGCAATAACCCAGAAGACAGAAATCTTCATTCTCTGATGACGGAGGCAGTATGACCTCTGAAACGTTGGTGGACATCGACCAGACTACACAGCGCAATAACCCAGAAGACAGAAATCTTCATTCTCTGATGACGGAGGCAGTATGACCTCTGAAACGTTGGTGGACATCGACCAGACTACACAGCGCAATAACCCAGAAGACAGAAATCTTCATTCTCTGATGACGGAGGCAGTATGACCTCTGAAACGTTGGTGGACATCGACCAGACTACACAGCGCAATAACCCAGAAGACAGAAATCTTCATTCTCTGATGACGGAGGCAGTATGACCTCTGAAACGTTGGTGGACATCGACCAGACTACACAGCGCAATAACCCAGAAGACAGAAATCTTCATTCTCTGATGACGGAGGCAGTATGACCTCTGAAACGTTGGTGGACATCGACCAGACTACACAGCGCAACAACCCAGAAGACAGAAATCTTTAAAATAACCCTTATTTCCACTTCGCTAATTTTGGAACTCCGGTGTGTGTGTGTGTGGGGGGGGGCCCTCCGCAGCACGGGTCGTACCTAAAATCCTCTGCTGTGAAGAGACTGGCTTTGTTACGTAAATCGGTAATATTAATATTTACAATAAGAAACACGACTTACTCAGAACGCCTTTCAACACGCGCATTCCTTCATCAACGAGAGAAGCCGTGGTTAGCAGATGCACCCCACTCGGTGTTACGGCCTGTGCGTTAATTCTTGCTGTATTAAGGGGTTCGGAGACTGCTTCCTGCCACACACTTCGGAATCCTTTTGTATCCCGGCTGGCATCTACAAATCTTAATATTGAAACATGCAATTTTGCCCGATGTTTTGTGTGTTGTTTAATGCGTCAAGGGAAGAACACAGATTGAGCGCGCATGTGACCAGGGTTCTGAGGTGAATATTTGAACTCAAGAGGGACGAAATGACACAGGGCTCGAGGAAACTGGATGACAATCACCTCCATAGTTGTTTGTCTTTACCACGTATTGTGTAGGCGGATGAGATGGACGAACACGGGGGTGACGAGAAATGCACAAATTTTCGTTGGAAGGCCTGGCCGGAAGAGACCACTAGGAAGAACGAGGCGTAGACCACGAGGGGTGATAACGGGTAGAATGATTTCTAGGGGAGCAAGACCAGGTGAACCGCATTGCAGCCTCTCAGATGTTTATCCCCAGCCTCTTCCTACGAGATCACATCTTGGCCCACTTTTCTACGATGCCTACGTGCCTTTCCTCCAATCACGGTACGTTTCTTCCCATGACGTTCTAAAATCAAGCATTTATGCACAGCGCAAGTCAACCAAAGCTGCACGCGGTGTAACCTCTAGTGGCAAACGAGATTCTGACGACAAAGTCATGACACTACAACCATTAAAATTTGTTAGGTCACGTCAGATCTGAGTGCAATTTTTTTAAATGTCAAATTCGATTTGTAGTTTCACGATAAACTAGCCACGCTAAATCACAGCATCTGCCGACTACAAACCACAGGTTACATACGCTTGGTCCCTATGCGTGCTACGTGCTCTGCCTAATTCATATGATTTATTAAATCGCGGTACTGTAAAGCTTCCGTTATGTAATTTTTCTCCATTCCCGAGATTGGGACAGGTAACTCTGTTAGACGACGCTGGCAAACCGACGCCGAGCGTGACGTCGCCTACTGTCGCGGCGCCAACAGAAGTTTCCATATATGTATAGTAGATGAGCCTCGGGACGCCCTACGACATTATCGAACCGACGTTGAGCGTAACGACACTAATCGACGCGGCGAAATCATTAAAAGCCAATACATTACCCACGGGAAGACACACGAACCCACGACAGGAGCCCAGGGGACACACGCTATGACGACGATACGAGAAGATGCCATCTTT